CCGGGCGGCGGGAAGGAGCCGCCCCGGGGGCCGAGCCCGCCCGTTCCGCACCGCCTCTCCCCGCCCTCCCTCCCTCCCTGCCTCCCTCCGCCGGGGGCCACTCGCCCCGCCGGGCCAGTCGCCGCCGGCAGCCGCGGCACAGCCCGGTGCGGGATAGCCCAGGCCGGTGCGACGCATCCCGATGCGGGATATCCCGATGGAGACGGAGCGATACCGGTGCCAGAGCAGTCGGTACATCGAGAGCGGGCAGTCGGCGGTGCCCAGCTCGGTGTTGTTCGCCGCCGGCTTGTTGGGCAACGTGTTGGCGTTGCTGCTGCTGGGCCAGCACCGGCGGCGTTCCCGGTCGCCCGGTGGCCGCTCGCCGAGGGTCTCTGCTTTCTACGTGCTGGTGAGCGGGCTGGCAGTCACCGACCTGCTGGGCAAGTGCTTGCTCAGCCCCATCGTGCTGGCAGCCTACGCCTACAACCGCAGCCTCAGCGAGCTGGGACCGGGCGGGCATACTGAAGGCAAACCGGGTGTCCTCTGCCAGCTCTTCGCCTTCCTCATGGCCTTCTTCGGGCTGGCCCCCACCCTGCTGCTGCTGGCCATGGCGCTGGAGTGTTGGCTCTCCTTGGGGCATCCCTACTTCTACCGACGGCATCTCACCCGGCGGCTGGGTGCTACGTTGGGGCCGGCGGCGGCGGGGCTCTGCGCCCTTTTCTGCGCCCTGCCGCTGCTGGGTTTCGGGGTGCCCATGCAGTACTGCCCCGGGACATGGTGCTTCATCCGCATGGCCAGTGACGAGCCGCGCCAGCTCGGCTTCCCGGTCCTCTACGCCAGCCTGATGGGCCTGTTGGTGTTGGCCATCGGCGCCTGCAACGTGAGCAGCATGCGGCACCTCTACAGCATGGCACGGCGGCAGCCCCCCCCCGGGGCCCCCCCCCCCGCCACCCCCCCCGCCCCCCCCCCCCCCCGCGCCCCCCCCGCCGCTGCCGCCCCGTGCATGGAGGAGCTTGACCACCTCATCTTGCTGGGGCTCATGACCGTCCTCTTCACCGTCTGCTCCCTGCCGCTCATCGTGAGTAATCCCACTGGCTCCCTCCCACGGAACAGCCCCCCGCCCTGAATACCCACCACCCCATCCCTGGGGGTCGGTCCTTGCATTAACCCCTGCCGGAAAATCATCCCCCCTCCCTGCCACCTCCTCCCAAGGAGGCTGGATTGTTGCTTTGATGTCCGTGAGGGTCAGGTCATTGCCTAAAGCCCCTGGGAACAGTCTCCCCTATCAGCACCACTCAGTCCCGGGGGGGTCAGGTCGTTGTTTTTGCCCTTTGGAATAAACCCTGGCACGACCACCTGCTCCTGGGGGCTCGGGGCAATACTTTGCCCCCCTCTGAATCCTCCCCCAGCCTGTCCATAGGGGTCAGGTCATTGCCTAAACCCCCTTGGTGTAACCCCCCGTCACCACCACGCAGTCCCGGGGGGGGTCAGGTCATTGCTGTGGCTCCTTGGAATAAACCCTGGCACCACCACCCACTCCTTAAATGATTGCTTTAGTGTGTAAGTACACGGTGACCCCACCTCACGTTAATACTGTGCAATCCTTACAAGCTAGCCTCAGCAGGCCTAGTTTGTTCCTGCTTTTACAGGAGACCTGTAAAGCCTAACAGGTAAATTTGGCAGGCCAATTGATTTTCCACATTGCTTCCCAGCAAAGGCCTTCAGCCCCAGGACCGTGATACTTAAACCGGAACATCACTTGCCTGGCTAGTGCCAGCCCAAAGGGGGCTGAAACGCTTCAGGGAAGGCTGACGGGGTGGTATGGCTAAAAGCACCCCCCCCCCCGCCGGGGGGGGGGGGGGGTAGTTCATTGCTTTATCCCCCTTGGAATAACGTCCCCCCCATCACCACCACCCTGTCCCGGGGGGGGGTCGGCTCATTGCATTGCCCCCCCGGAATACCCACCACCACCACCATCCCATTCCCAGGGGTTAGTTCATTGCTTTAACCCCCATGGAATAACCCCCCATCACCACCACTCTGTTCCAGAGGTGTTGGGATGGGGGGGGGCGGGTAATTACTTTAGCCCCCTCTGAACATTCCCCACCCCATCCCAGGGGTCTGCTCGTTGCTTTAACCCCACTGGAATAACCCCCCTCACCCCCCCCATCCCAGAGCTGCTGGGTAGATCCAGCTCCCTTGGAACCGCACTGGATTTCCTGACCTGGGGGGAAAACCTCCCCGAAATCCTCCCCCTTCTTCCCCAGGGATGGGGGTCCCGCTGATGGCGTGGTGGGGAGGGAGACCGCCAGCATGACAGAGTCCTTGTGCCCCCCCCCGCTCCGCAGCACCCCATGTCCTGGGGCCGGATCCTGCAGCACCCTGAGCAGAGCTGGTGCCGCGGTGGGGATTATCCCAAAATCAGGGTGGGGGGTGCAAGTGCTGCCACTGCCCCCGGTGACAACTTCCACCTCCATTCCCCATCCCCTCTGTCACGCTCTGGAGCCATATCGTGACGCACCAGCCACCAGCAGCCCCGGCACAACTGGGCTCATACTGGTTTTGTAACAACCCCAGCAAAAGCCCTGTGGTCCTCAAACCAGCAGGGCTTCAGGCTGGACCTGGAGGTGGAGGAATGACCTTGACCCAGCAAGGGTGCAGCTGAGTTATCCATCGCGGGGGGGGGCAACACAAGTGGGGTGTCCCAGCTTTGGGGGCTGCAGCCTGTGCAGGTCGGATGCTCCCTTTATCCGTGAAAACAACCTCGGTCGCTGGACTTCTTCAGCTCTAACCTGATGGGGACATGGTGCCCCTGTGCCACGACCACCCGTGACCCAGCCCCAACTCCCGTTTTCAGGGTCTGCACCCCACAATGTGTGCTGATTCGATGCATAAGGATATTGGGGCTTAAAACTTCTGTTGCTGCCCCCGTGGGAATCGTTTTCCTTTCAGCTTTACCCCTGTAGTGAGATCTTTTTTTTCATTTTTCCCTATTTCTTTGGTTTTTTAACAGATCCGGGCATACATGGGGGCATTTGCTGCTGATTTCAACGAGAACGCTGACCTCAGCGCCCTGCGGTTTCTCTCTGTGAACTCCATCGTTGACCCCTGGGTCTTCATCATTTTCCGCACCTCCGTCTTCCGCATGTTTGTCCGCAGGGTTCGCCGGAGGCTGAATTCCCGGAAAGCCAGCCTGAAAGGGCCTAACCAGGGAGGCGATGGCCAGTTTTGCCCCCTGGGCTGGCGCAGGACAGACACCCCGCAGCTCGGCTTCTCCTGAGCGTGCGGGTCTTGCATCCTTGGTGAGGATGAGGAGCGAGCCTTCGGCCCCGTGCCCCCACCCCGGAGCATCCCGGGGCAGCACGAGGCTGTCGCAGGTGGGGACGGCGTCCGGCTCACAGCCAGGGGCAGGCGTGAAGCGTTTCTGCCCCCTCCCCGCGGCTGCATTTTGCCCCAGAGAGGAACCGGGGGGGCTCCCGGGTACCTGTGAATATTTCCGAGCAGCAGCACTTTGTGGAGGGTTGGGGGAGCACTCGGCTCCAGGAAAGCAGGAAGGTTTTGGCGTGTGGCTTCAGGGCAGCGGGGACGCACGGGGAGGAGAGGGGGGTGTGTGTCTCCGTTAAATAAAAGCAGTTCAGAGCCCTGCTCCATCACCTTGTCCTGTGCGTGATCCCCTTCCACGCCAAGGGGGGTGATCCGGGGCTGGTTTGGGGTGTCTCCGGCCTGGGCGAGGGGGGTGTGAGGGAGCCTTTGAGGGTGTGGAGACTCAGAAACTTGAGCAGCAGCTCATGGCTGTGCCGAGGAGCCAGAGGGCAGGTGGGGTCCCTCCCCAGGACACCCATCGTCCCTCCCCGGGACACCCATCATCCCTCCCCTGACCCACTATCCCCCGAGCGGGGCTGTGGTTTCTCTGCCGTGGCTTGCTCTTCTCTTGAAAATTGATTCCTCCAAGTGCTAATGTTGCATTTGTGTTACTCAGATGGCTACCTGTCCTGCTGTAATTATTTTAATTTGGTATTTATGACGATCCTGAGCCTAATAAGAGCAGTAATTGAGAGAACGCAGAGCCCGGGATGTATAACCTCACGATGCAAGCATGCAAGCAAACAATCATTTTAATGAAAGATCCATTTCCCCTCAACCACATGTATTAACTGGCTTTAATATCTCCCTCAAGTGACCATTTAGGCCAAAAAAATTGTGATGACCAAAGTCTCCATCTGCTTAGTGTCCTTGGAGGAGACAGGGCAAATGCTTCTCTCCCTCTATTTAGCTAAGCCTTGCAAGGTGTAGTTGTGTTCCTGCCAGTTCTCACGCGATATTTACTCCTGGTCTCAAATGGATTCTGTTTTTCAAGGAAGAAACTCATGCAAATCTATCCTGGGGCTTTTTGGAGGTGACCTGACTGGGTTGGCTCTGGCTGTTTGGCCGGCCAGGCTCTCCTGGCTGGAGAAAAGGGCAGACCTGTATTTGGGGATGTATTTGGAGGACCTGCAAGCTCCCTGCTCAGTGCCTCTCATCGGGGTTTTCTCAGGAGAAAGAAATGAAATGAGGGTTGGTCTGCGTATCGGTTTCATGTTACTGGTGTGGTATTGACTTGGAGATGGCTCACGTGGGACCGCAGAGTCAACAACACCGAGCCTGCGCCGTGGCTTTCACCGGACCTGTTTCACCGCAGCGGGACGAAGGCCAGGTGAGATAACAGCTCTGCAAAATCTTGCTCTTGTCCCCCCCTGGCCTGGGATCTCCTTCACCGTACGGATCCATGCATGGCTCAGGACAGACGGACAAGGCACGGCCAGCCTAGGAGCATGCAGCAACGTGAGCCGTGGGTGCTCAGTGTGTGCCCAGGCTGGGACAGGCCATCGTCTGCCCATGACCCCAACGAGGATTTGCTCCTGGAGAACCTCCCAGGAGAGGTCCCTGCCCCACAGTAGGTGTATTTAGAGCCCAGGGCAACCATGCTCCATGGAAAGCAGCAATTAAATTAAAAAAACCAAAACAAAACAGGTTCTTTATTAAGGTGCATGAATACAGACTCCATCCGAGCCCTGAGATGATGCGCACACCACAGTGTCTGACCCATCCATGAGTTTATCATCAAAGAAATCACGGAGCCAGCGAGCGCGGCGGGGGCTTGCAGGCTGCCGGGGTGACCCCCCCTGTCCTTGCCTCGTCCCCGCTCCCCGGCTGGGCCCCGCACGTCCCAGCAACCTTGCCGCGCTCATCTGGCTTCAGTAGCGCTTTTAATTGGTGTCGTGCCCTTCCCGGTGTCCTACCTGCTCTGGGAGCAGACTTGGAGTCTCCAGCCGGCCACCGCTGCCTCCGGGCAAGCCAAGCTCCGGCTGCAGCCAACAAGGTTTGCATTTGCGGCTGAACGCCAGGCCGCTCTCCGAGCAGATAAATCATTTCTCGGCGTGTTTCTGGGGCCCGGGACTGCCGTATCGCGGTCCTCTCCAGAGATGGCAGCACGTCCCCAGCCAGGGCTGGGCTCCGAGCTGGCCTGGGCACGCTGGGCACGGCCACTGCGAGGAGGGGGATGCCACTCTCCACCCCAAGTTGCTCCCTTGGGCAACCGACTTTTTAAAGCCCAAACACATATGGTTTGGGGCTTCAGGAGTTACATCAAAGCTCAGAGGCCCTTCCTATTACTGAGCTTGGGAAAAAATGAACATAGAATAAAAATACAATAAAAATAAAATAAAGAATCCCCGCAACACACAGTTTAGTTGTAAATGTTGCTAAACAGGAACCAAAACAGCTCAGCGGCTCAGGGCTCTCTGGCCAAACACCGAGGAGGTGAGAGCGGCTGTGCGAGCCCTCCCGGCTCGCGTCCTCCTCCCGGGCTCCTCGCCCTGCTCAGTCATTCCCTGCCGGCCCCCTCCGCGCCAGATGGCTCCCGTGCCAGCGATCCTCAAAGGGACGGACCTAATGCTTAATGGAGGCAATAAAGAGAGGCTGCTCGGCTCAAGGCTGCGGCTCACACCCACGATGCTCTTTTTGGAGCTGTTGCGCAGTGCCCGCTGCCCTCTCCCACGCTCACGGTGTCACCGGTGTCACCGGGACCACCTAACCCTGCATCCCGCTCCTCTCCTGGACATAAATCGAGCATGGTCACGTTTGGTGGGTTGTTTGTGTTTTTTTTTTTTTCAGCTCATGAAATCCAGGCACAACTTTGCACAAGCTCATTTCCCGGCAAATTGTTTAGTTCTTGCAAAAAGAGCCCTATTTTTTATTGTCTGCCCGCATTTTTCAGCCATTCTGGCAGCAGGAAGGCGCGTGCCTGGGCAGGCAGCAGCACCGGGGCTGCCAGGCACCCAAGCCAGGGTTCCCAGCCCGCGGGGCTGTAAGACACAACCAGCCGGTGCGCGGGTTGATTGATTTTTATTTTTTTTTTAACCCATGCACCCAGGTGCTTGCACAGGCCGGCAAGCCAAGGCATCGAAACCTGGATCTGCCGCGCCGGTGCTCAGTCCTGCTTTTCCAGGGTGGTGGGTGAGGCTGCTGGCAGCGCCGGTGCATGAGATAAGGGACAGGGCTGGGAAGGCTTTGGAAGAAAAATGATGCCTGGCTTTGCTAAACACAAGTCAGATGGGTTTTTGGTTTAAAAGGGTTGAAATCCACCCATGCAGTCCATCCCTCCATGCATAGGAGGGCTGATCTCCTCCCTGCCCGCCGTGCCGAAGCCGTCCTTGGAAACCCAACAGGGATGGAGCAGGATCGCGGCACCCTCCCCAACCCTAGGCAGCAAACTCCAGAGGTTGAGTCCTCTTGGCTGCAGGGTTTATACAAAATTCATGCAACTTTCCTACAATCCCAAGAGTTTTTTTCTCCAAGTGGGCCAACCCTGGAAATCTTCTCTTAGGGAAAACAATGCCAAGGACCCTTGGGAAGACATATGGTCCTTGTTAGAGGCAAGACACCCGAGATAAACATGGAAGCAAAAGGAAAAAAACAAAACACTTCCCAAGAAACAGATTATACCAAGCGGCATGTTCCTGGTTTTGAGCTCAGAAGGGGTAGGGAAAAAAAAAACCAACCCTGCAATTTTTCTATTATTGCAAAAATATCCCATCAGAGGCTACTGTCGGTTGAGAAGCCTGAAGGCCCAAATGGGTATTTAAGGCTCCATTAGCTGCCAGGAAAATGAGCTCCAGAAGATGCCAAAACCCCTTCCTGAGCCGTGACATGCAACACCAGAAAGGAGTGAGAGGCTGGGAAAAAAGCCTCGGAGCAACCACCCCACAGGGTGCCTTCTGCTCGGAAAAGGTCTCCAGATGAGCAGGCTGCAGCCTCCGTAAGAAGCTCAGATGGACTGGGACAGGATTTGCCCTCAGCTCCATTTTTAACCTGATTTTGAGGACACCGCAGAGGGTTGAACATGCCAGGACCCCATCCAGCCCTCGGGAAGCCAACAGGATCGCTCCCACCATCGGATGTGCCCCCATGCTCTGCTGGATCAGGTCTGCAGGGCTGGGAGGGGACTGAAAAGAGGTCCTGGGACGTGCGTTTTTCTGAGTTAGCCTGGGAGTCAGCTAAAACCCCTTCCCCTCCCTCACACCCATTGCTTTGGCCATGGGAACGAGGAGGGCTGGGGCTGCGGTGCCTGCACATCCTCCCCGCCGTGCCGAAGAAGCCTTTGAGCTGTGTGACGAACAAAACCAAAGCGAGGAATAGGAGCGTCCTGTCAGAAATGAAGGTGCTGTCACAAACCGCAGCTCACCCAGCCCGGGACTTTGCCATATACCGTGTTTCCTTTACGAAGTTCCTGTTACAAAAGCAAGGTTTTAAAAATAACAGCCAAAAGGCACGTGTGGCAGCAACCTGCTGCGTCCATGCTGGAGCCCATCAACGCTGCAGCGGTTCACCGGGGTTTGGGGGAACCAGAGCACTTTGCAAGGAGAGTTTCTCATTAGGTCAGGCTGAAGGGCTGCACCTGAGCCCTGCCTGGCCCCCAGCCGAGCCGGATCCCAGCTCGGAGGCCAAGGGCGAAGGCTTTGCTCTCAGCAAGGTGGGGAGAGGCTCAGGGTCATGGCTGGGGAAACACTTCACAACAGCGAGAGCTTCCTGTGCCGCCTGCCGAGCCCAAAGCCCCAGCAGAAGGAGCTTTCCTGGAGCTGGTATTTGGGGCAGATAAGCCGCGCTCAGCCAGGCTTGCTGGAAAAGGGGTTCCCTCCCATGTCCCCCCCATTTGTGACCAGACACTGGCTGCAGGCTGGACCCCCATGGGGAGCTCCGATGACATATAGGGGCAATGGGGACATGGTGTGGGGCTGGCCATGGGGCAGGGTGTTCTCCAGGGGCTCCGGTTGCCTCTGGGGCCATGGGCACCCACCTGCACAGCCCAGGCTCAGCTGCAGCTCCCCGGTAGCCCGCCCCACACCAGGCCGGTGGAGACGGCACTGGGGCTCATCGCACCTCGGGGTTCTTGGTCCAGCACCGGGGCTCGTGGCCCACCCCCGGCTCCTGGAGCAGCACTGGCACCATGGCTCGATGTGACTCGGTGCTCCCAGACCAGCACTGGGTATCGCTGTGAGTCGGGGGGTCCCGGATCGGCACTGGGTCTTGCTGTGCCTCTTGGGGATCCCAGATTGGCACTGGGGCTGGCCATGCTACTGGGCTCCTAGATCAGCATTGGGACTAGCCCGGCATCGGGGCTCAAGGGTTCCCGGCCTGGCATCGGGTCTTGCTGTCAGCCCAGGGCTCCTGGACCGGCACCAGCGCTGGCCGTGCCTCAGGACCCCCGGACCAGCACTGGGGCTGACCATGCTGCTGGGGCTCCCAGATCAGCATCTGGGCTAGCCTGGCGTCAGGGCTCAAGGGCTCCCAGCCTGGCACCAGGTCTTGCTGTGAGCCCGGGATCCCTGGACCGGCACTGGGACTCCCGGACCAGCACCGGGGCTGGCCGTGCTGATGGGGCTCCCAGATCAGCATCTGGGCTAGCCTGGCGTCGGGGCTCAAGGGCTCCCAGCCTGGCACCAGGTCTTGCTGTGAGCCCGGGATCCCTGGACCGGCACTGGGACTCCCGGACCAGCACCGGGGCTGGCCGTGCTGATGGGGCTCCCAGATCAGCATCTGGGCTAGCCTGGCGTCGGGGCCCCCAACGGAGCCCCCGGGCTCCGCG